TATGCAGCTATGAGTTGGAAAAGCAGCAGTAAATCTTTTTAAAAAATTTGACTTTAGGCCGGCGCGGTGGCTCAAGGCCGGGCGCGGTGGGCTCAAGCCTGTAATCCCAGCATTTGGAGGCCGAGACGGGCGGATCACGAGGTCAGGAGATCGAGACCATCCTGGCTAACACGGTGAAACCCCGTCTCTACTAAAAAAATACAAAAAACTAGCCGGCGAGCGGTGGCGGGTGCCTGTAGTCCAGCTACTCGCGAGGAGGCTGAGGCAGGAGAATGCGGTGAACCAAGGGAGAGGAGCTTGCAGTGAGCTGAGATCCGGCCACTGCACTCCAGCCTGGTGTGACAGAGCAAGACTCCGTCTCAAAAAAAAAAAAAAAAAAAAAAAAAAAAACTTTACTTTGCCGGGGGCGCCAGTGGCTCAAGCCTGTGAATCCAGCCACTTTAGGAGGCCGAGATGGGCAGGATCACGAGGACAGGAGCATCGAGACATCCTGCTAGCATGGTGAAACCCCGTGTCCTACTAAAAAATGACAAAAAACTAAACTGGTGCGGACAAAAAAAAAAAAAAAATTCTGAGACAGGGTCCAGCTTCGGTCACTGAGGCTGGAGTGCAGTGGCACCATCAGCGCTCGCTGCAGCCTTGACCTCCAGGGTTCAAGTGCTCTTCCTACCTCAGCCTTCCAAAGTGCTGGGATGACAGGCATGAGCCACTGTGCCCAGCCATTGATTTTATCCTGCAACTGTGTTTGCTCCACTCAGTAGTCTATCTAGGAGATCCATCTACATTACTCTACGGAGATCTCAGCGTACCCTTTTCTCTGCTGCGTAATACTCCGTCTCAGAAATGGGTCACCATGGATTTAAACATTCCCCTACATTGGAACATCTAAGTGGCTTCTGATTTTCCTTATTGTAAAGCCATGCTACAGTGAACATCCTCATGCAAACTTCTCATGCTGATGGGTGGGGAATAAATGCCAGACAGGGCATTGCTGCACTGCAGATCAGTCAATACACAATTGCTATTGAGAGAGATCATCACACTGAAGCCTGGTTTTCCCACCTCATATTGAGTACGTCCCAGAGGAGAAAACTTTTCAGTTTGTAAATGCGTCTTCTCCTAATCTCCAAGAGGAGACCCACAGAGCTCTTTTCTCTCTTAAAAACAAATCAGCAGGCCAGGTGCAGTGGCTCATGCCTGTAGTCCCAGCACTTTGGAACGTCGAGGCAGATAGATCATTTGAGGTCAGGAGTTTGAGACCAGCCTGGCCAACATGGTGAAACCCTGTCTCTACTAAAAACACGAAAAATTAGCCAGGCGTGGTGGTGCATGACTGTAGCCCCAGCTACTCGGGAGGCCGAGGCAGGAGAATCGCTTGAACTTGGGAGGTGGAGGTTGCAGTGAGCCAAGATCACAACACTGCACTCCAGCCAGAGTCTCGCTCTGTCTCAAAACAAACCAACAAACAAAACACAAATCAGCAGCCAGGCACAGTGGCTCATGCCTGTAATCCCAGCTACTGGGGCGGATCACTTGAGGCCAGGAGTTCGAGGTCAGCCTGGGCAACATTGTGAGACCCCCATCTCAAAAACAAAAACAAAAACAAAAAGCCCCTACACCCCAAATGACACAAAAAGCACAGACAATAAAAGAAAAAAATTGATAAACTGGATTTCATCAAAATTAAAAACAAAACTAAACTATTTAAAAGAGTGAGTAATCTCTGTCTGGACCAACCTGGAGGGATTTCCAGGCAAGACCTATGGCGAGACTGCGCCACCTTCTGGACAAGGAAGGAATGGAAGCGGGGGATGGGGACGGGAGGGAGACTTCTCTGCAAAAAACTCATCACGATTTTGACTTTTGAACCATGTCAATGTTTTACAAAATCAAAAAATAAAACAAAACAACCCATAGTCCCATATCAACAGATCTGCCTCTTTTCTGTCTTCTCCCTAATGGGCACAAGGTGATACCTTGAGTCTCATGGGATGTGTTACTTTAAAAGTCAACAGGGAAAGCTGTATTCAGAAAAACAGGGTCGGGGTGGGTGGCTCACACCTGTAATCCCAGCGATTTGGGAGGCCGAGGCAGGAGGATTGCTTGAGGCCAGGAGTTCAAGACCAGCCTGGCCAACATGGCGAAACCGTGTCTCTACTAAAAATACAAAAACTAGCCGAGTCCCAGCTACCTAGGAGGCTGAGGCATGACAACCACCTGAACCCGGCAGGCAGAGGTTGCAGTGAGCTGAGATTGCGCCACTGCACTCCAGCCTAGATGACAGAGTGAGATTCTGAAGAA